GCACTGGAAAGAGTGTCTTTTAGGCTACTTGTGCGGTTAGTGTCATTTCGATACGTGTTTGGATGGATCTTTGGTGAATTTTTTTCCTTTGGTGTGCTTTGGAGTGGTTAAACGACGATATATTGAGAAGTCATTTTCATAAATTTTTTTCTCCCAATTTTGTAATGTTGGAACAATGGTTCTTACTGCACTGGAAAGAGTGTCTTTTAGGCTACTTGTGCGGTTAGTGTCATTTCGATACGTGTTTGGATGGATCTTTGGTGAATTTTTTTCCTTTGGTGTGCTTTGGAGTGTTTAAACGACGATAGATTGAGAAGTCATTTTCATAAATTTTTTTCTCCCAATTTGTAATGTTGGAAAAATGGTTCTTACGGCACTGGAAAGAGTGTCTTTTAGGCTACTTGTGCGGTTAGTGTCATTTCGATACGAGTTTGGATGGATGTTTGGCGAATTTTTTTCCTTTGGTGTGCTTTGGAGTGTTTAAACGACGATAGATTGAGAAGTCCTTTTCATAATTTTTTTTCTCCAAATTTTGTAATGCTGGAAAAATGGCTCTTACTGCACTGGAAAGAGTGTCTTTTAGGCTACTTGTGCGGTTAGTGTCATTGCGATACGAGTTTGGATGGATCTTTGGCGAATTTTTTTCCTTTGGTGTGCTTTTGAGTGTCTAAACGACGGTAGTTTGAGAAGTCATTTTCATAAATTTTTTCCTCCAAATTTTGTGAGGAGGGAAAAACAGTTCTGATGGGCCTGGAAAGAGTGTCTCTTAGGCTACTTGTGCGCTTAGTGTCACTTTCATGCGAGTTTGAATAAAACTTTGGCGAATTTTTTTCCTTTGGTGTGCTTTTGAGTGTCTAAACGACGGTAGCTTGAGAAGTCGTTTTCATAATTTTTTTCCTCCAAACTATGTAAGGGTGGAAAACTAGTTCTCATGGGGCTGGAAAGAGTGTCTTTTAGGCTATTTGTGCGGTTAGTGGCACTCTGATCCGAGTTTGGATGTAACTTTGGCGAATTTTTTTCCTTTGGTGTGCTTTGGAGTGTCTAAACGACGACAGTTTGAAAAGTCATTTTAAACAATTTTTTTTTTGAATTTTGTAAGTAGAGAAAAATCCTCTTCACTTGACTGGAAAGAGTGTCTTTTCGACTATTGGTGCGGGCAGTCTGACTTCAATCAGATATTGGCTTAAACTGCGGCGAATTTTACACTTTGGGGTGTTCCGGGGTCTGAAAACACCCAAAGTTTGCAAACTCATTTTCACGAATTTTTTGCTCGAACACCTGGAGAAATAGGATGACCCGAGTTCCACCTGTTTATGGACAAAACACAACTGACTCAGTGGGAGCAGTTGTGAATTCATTGCGTTTAAGATTAATTTTAGACGATTTTTAACTCATAGGTGTGTTGGCGTGACTCAAAACTACTAAAGTTTGCAAACGCACTTTTACGATTTTTTTTCTCGAAAACCCGGAAAAATTGGAAAACCGGGGTTACACCTGTCCATAGCAAACACACAACTGAATCAGCGCCACCCGTTGCGAATTCATCGGTATTAGGGTTGATTTTCGACAAATTTTTACACTTTGGGGTGTTCTGGTGTCTCAAAACGACGACAGTCTGCAAACTAAATTTGACAATTTTTTTCCCGGAAACCCGGAAAAATTGAGTGGTCGGTGTTGCTCTATTGCAACGCCAGTACACCAGTCAATAAGCGAAAAAAGTTGCAAGTTCAAGGCGTTTGGGGTTAATTTGCTACGAATTTTACAACTTAGTGGGTTCTGAGGACTCAAAACTACTAAAGTTTGCTAACTAAGTTTTCAGATTTTTTCCTCAAAAACCCTTAAAATTTGGACGACTGCAGTTGCAGCCGTCCATAGCAAATTCGTCGCTTAATGAGTGGGGGCGGTTGCAAATTGATAGCCTCCAGGGTTGATTTTAGGCGAATTTTTACACTTTGGGGTGTGCTGCTGTCCCAAAACGATGATAGTCTGCCAGCTGGTTTTTGCGATTTTTTTTCTCGGAAACCCGGATAAACTGACTAAGCGCTGTTGCTCCCCAAGGAGTGTGAAACAACCCAAGGAGTGTGAAACGTTTGCAAAGTCAACTGGACGGAAAGTCAACTGGGGTTGATTGTAGGCGAATTTTTCCACTTTTATTTTCACTTGCTGAGTCACTTTGAATAATTTTTTCCGGAAAAGTCTGGTGGAACAGGAAAAGGGGGTTGCGCTGTTGCATAGCCAATAGAGCCGGCAACACACGGGAGCAGCGGCAAATTGATCGCCTGCAGCGTTAATTTTTGACAGCTCTTTGAACTTGGGTGTGCACAGTTGGTGCAAAACGCCAAAGTTTGGCAACAAACTTTGCGATTTTTTTGGGCTGAAGCCCAAAAGGGCCTCAACTTCGCACCCCGTGGACCCAATAGGGGCGCCCTCTCCCCAACAGGGGGGCAAATGGAAACTTCCATTGCTGGCTCCATTGGCTTTTGGCGAATTTTTCCATTGTGCTGCGCAGTGGAGTCTAAACGACGCCGATGCTCCGGCGCAGCACCTCAGCACTTTCCAAGCCGCCTCACGCCTCAACGGCTCAAAGCAGCCCAAAACTCGTTAGAGCTTTTTCGATTCGCCTGCTCATTGGCTACAGTTTTGCATTGGGCGCGGTCGGCCAGTTCCTAACCTCCAAAAAGTTACAGGCGAAAAACTGGGTGGCGCGCGCTTTCACTGCCCCTGCCTGGGGTAGTAAAGTGCTGGGCACTCAGGGCGGGGACAGTCCGCACCAGCCAACCCAACTGGGGCTGGTTGAGAAAGTTTGGCCTGTCCAGGCGGCAACAAGGCCCCGATCCACAAGGACAAGGACATCGGCTACGCCCTGTCCAGCTTCAACGACTACACGTCCCGATACCTCTTCACAGTGGACAAGGACACCACGCAGCTGCTGACGGGCGAAGTTTTTGATGGCGGCGAGGCCGGAATCGCCGTTCCTGCCACTGTTTGCACCACAAAGTCGGTGGGGATCAGCGTGGACATCAACCCCTACGAGCCCCACTTGCTCGCAGGTAGTTGGGGAGTTGGGGGGAGAAGTGCTGGGCACTACGGCCTGTTGTTGCAGGCACGATGGCCCACATGATAGGCCACAACATAGGCATGGGGCACGACGACGGCCGGGAGCAGTGCTTCTGCAAGGACTGGCATGGCTGCATCATGGCCAAGTCCATCGTAGGCCTGGAGAACGTGCAGCCGTACAAGTTCAGCGACTGCAGCATGGCCGACTATGTGGACCGGCTGCGCACCGGGTCGGGCCAATGTTTGATGAACAGGCCGAACGAGCTGCCGGTGAGTGGGTTTTGCTGCTGCAGTTTGCCTTTGGTAGAACGTGCAGCAGGGAAAAGTTGTGGCCCAGTTTGCAGCAGCCGAACAAAAGCAATTAGTGTTCGTAGATGAGTTCGGTAGTGTTGGGGCGGACTTGTTTTTTGCCAACTTCTTTTCGGGTGTTTTGCCCCGACAGAAGTTGCTCACGTCTTTTGTTACTGATTGATAAATAGTGCTTTTTCTTTTTTTGCTTAAATTTTTTTGCTTTTTAGTGAATTTTCGGTATTGGCTTTAATTTATCCAGAAACGACCGAAGCTGGCGAGTCGCCACCAGCTGCTTCTTCTAGACCCGCACCTGGGCGTTTCGATTTTCCGCCATCATCAGGCAATTTTCAATAATTTGTCAAAATGCGCAATATTTTTGCGCAGGTCCTAGTTGGACATTTTTGTCTTTAGAAAACTGCTAAGCTAAAGAGGAATTTCTTATCTGAAAACGTGGGCGCAAAGTGTGCTCTGCGCACGGACGACGTTTCGATGTTCCACCATCTTCCGGGAATTTGCGGGGATTATTTTTGGAGATTTTTGCTCGTTAACTTAGCAAAAGACTTTCGATCGAATTTTGCAGGGCATCGGATGCTTAATGCGTGGCAAACGTTTCGATTTTTATACAAACTTCTTTTTGGGTTTTTCGCCTCAAAAATTTTTGTCTTTAAAAAAGACAGAATTTCCTCACGTCTTTTATCACAAATTGATAAATAGTGCTTCTGTTTCGCAATAAGAACGAATTATTTATCAAAAAGTAATCAAGACACACTTAGGCTCAAGCTGTAAGAGAAAATCCCAATTAGTAGAGAAATTAATTTGAAAAATTACCTTGACGTTTCGATAGCTATTTTCTGCTA